GGGCATAGGTTCACCAATAAATAATACTCCAGGGTAAAACATAGTAATCAATCATTGACATTGCATAAATAACATGATTAACAGGCTCTCGCAATTTACTAATCAACAAAGATCTAAGAGGCTCTCGCAATTTACTAGATCTAAGTTCTTATTGAAAATAGCCTTTAATATCAAATTAATATCTGCTCGATTCATCAATTTAATATTGCTATACTTTTACAAGCCGCAATTGTAAAACATTAAAACAATCCAACAAGAAATTATCATGCAATATCAATAATCAATAATAGTCAATCATCAATGCATCAATTAACCAGATTGTAAAGGGCTTTCGCTACGTATTACAATCACAGAATTAATCTACCGGTATTAAATCTCATCTCTCGAATCTCGACTTAACCATTTATAAATTAATCTGCCTATTGAAACTAGACCTAAACATTAATTCTCATCTCTCGAATCTTGAATCAATATTGTCAAACTCATGCATAAAAGATAGGCCTAATCTAGTCACAGAGCATTAAATCAATCAATAGGAAATTAATCTAGTATTGATAATTAATAACAATAAATTACCCCTTCATATTATTTAAGGATCCCCATAAACCCTAGAAATAAAACTACTCACACATAATTAAATCTAAACTAATCAAATAAATAAATAAAAGCATAATCAAGGAAGCAAATAAAATAACTGAAGTTAAAGGGGAAGAAATTGTTACCAAAAAGTAATCTGGAATTAAGAGTAGAATTAAGAACAAAAGTTTAGAGAGAGAATAATAAGAGAATCATTAAGAGAGTAAAGAAAGAGTAAAAAGGAGAGAAGAGAATACTAAGTAGAGAGAGAAAATCTAAGAAAGAAGGTAAGTGAAATTAATCGTCCTAAAACGTACTTAAACAAAACTAAAACAACTTCCTAATTAGAAACTAATTGCTCGATAAAAGAGTTCTTCTAGAAACACGCGCCCGATCGGGCGCGCCTTTTTCTTGCACTGCTCTTCTCCACAGTCGCGCCCGATCGGGCTAACAGCTCACCCGATCGGGCACGCCTTTGGCCACGCACCAGCACACTCTTGCGCGCCTTGCCCGATCGAGCTAAGCTGCCCGATTGGGCCCTTGCTTCACCTCGAGGCTCGGAGCTTCGATTGGGCTTATTTCTTCGGCCCAATCCGGATATCCACTTAGGGTCTTGATCACTCGGTCCATATACCTCGGTATCCCGATTACCGAGCCCTTAATCACCGGCTCTCACCGGTCTTGGGATCCAAAAGTGGTCGTGTCCTTCTAGCTTCCGTAGTCGATCCAATAAAGCCCGGGAAAATGCTCCAAGAGTGCAATTTCCTGTAAAATACAACTAAAACTACGAAAACACTAGAACACACAAATTAGTAATAAAAGTGGCCCGAAAGAGCCAAAAACACTACTAATAACGACCAAGGGACGGGGATAAAACACTATATAAAATGGACATATCAACGACACATTCGGATGTATATATAGAGAAAATACAAGTTTATCAATATGATAAACAAAATTTGTTTACCAAATGGCAAAATTATAAATAAATCAACAAATTTTTATTAAATATAGGTCCCACGTTGATATATTTACGAAAATGCCATGATGACTGGGTATTTATGTTGTTTTATTTACCATTTTGCCATTTTGTTTATCAAATTGATTAAATGAGGCTTCCTCGTATATATTTAACAAATTCCAATGCATTAGACATTGGTATCATTTTAGTGTTGGTTGCTATTCCAATAAAATCATAATTCCTTTCTTCTAGATACAATATTTTGCAACATGAGGGGAAGGAGAGAGACGTGAAAATTAGATTGTATTAAAGGAGTACAATAGTATGTAAATCACCCCCACAAACTCACATGAATTGTATATTGATATATTCACTTTAAGGGTCTATTTATATTTACTTATTTTAGTTCAGTTCAGTTCAACTCTAATCAGTTCAGTTCAGTTCAGCTCAGTTGTTAATTTTTTTTGTTTTAGATGTTTTAGCATACTACAACAACGACAATAATAATAATAATAATAATAATAATAATAATAATAATAATAATAATATTTTGCAGGGCTATTGGCTATGGTTTTCTTCCTTTCTCCTTTTCTTCGTTGGGGGAATTAGAGAAGGATGCTATTGCATTGCTGAAGCGGGTTCAGGCGTTCGCTAAGACTCAGGATATTGGTGTTCGTGCAGCTGCTCACATCTTCAGCAGGATCGGGTTCGCTATAGCTAGAGGGGTGGGGGCCCAGATTGTATCTCGGCTCCCTACCAATTTCTTGTAAATTGATTGACACTACAAGAAAACAGGGAAATAGCGACGGACTAGTTACGACGGACACTTTATTCCGTCGTAAAAGTGAAAATTTCCGACGGATTTTTATTCCGTCGGATATTTCCGACGAAGTCGATAATTCCATCGTAAATCTGTCGGAAATTTCTGACGGAATAAAAATCCGTCGGAAATTTTCACTTTTATGACGGATTTTTCCGTCGGAAATTACATTTTCCGACGGATAATTAGTCCGTCGGAAATTGCCAACGAAATATAATTTATTTTTTTTTTTAAAAAAAAAGCTTAAGAAAACCCTAAATCCTAATCTTCTCTTCCGCCCCTTCTGACCTTCTCCCTTCCTCTTTCCCCTTCTCTCTCCTCTCTCCTCTTCTCTGAATCTCTCCTTCTCTGCTTTCTCCTCTTCTTCTCTGAATCTCTGCTCTCTCCTCTTCTTCTCTGAATCTCTTTCTTCTTCTCTTTCCTCTTCGTTCTCCATCTCCATCCCCGTTCTCCTTCTCCTCTTCGTTCTCCTTCCCCCTTCTTTATCCTCTTAGCTTCTTTCCCCTCTTTATCTCCCACCACCAGTACCACCCACCAGCACCGACATCAACAATAACACCAACATCGACTACGAAAATCAACAACAAATTCCTCCAATTTCGCCCTTTCTCTCTCCTCATGAAGAAAACAAAGGTTTTTAGGCCAAATTCGACCATGAAAACTCTAGATCTAGAGTTTTTGTGGTCGAATTTGGCCTTCTAAACCCAATTTTAAAGTTTTATTATGTCGAATTAAGGTATGTGTAATTTTTTTTTTTTTTGTTGTTTTATCAGATTTTTTTGAATTTTGGTGTTTGAATTTTGGGGGTTGGGTCGGGATTCTTTTTTTTTTTTTAATTTTTGGGTTGTGGTTGGCTTGTTTCAGTGCCGGTAGTGGTGGTTTTAGGTGGGTGGTTTTGGGTGGGTTCGATTAGGGGGTCGGTTAGGTGGGTAAGGGTTCTGGTGGGTGTTTGTGTGGGTGGTGGATCGGGTTAGGGTTCTAATGGGTGTGGTTGTGGCCTTGTGGGTGTTGGTGGTGGATCGGGTTAGGGTTCTAGTGGCTGTGGGTGGTGGATCGGGTTAGGGGGGCTGGTGAAACGGGTTATGGGTGGGTTGTGGGTGTGAGTGGTGGATCGGGTTAGGGGCTGGTGGTGGGGGGTTGGTAGCTAGTGGTTGTCAGTGGTAGATCTGGTGGTTGTGGGTGGTGGGGTGGTTCTGGTGGTTGTGGATGTTGGGTTTTTTGGTGGTTGGAGGTGGTGATACGCCGTGCCCGTGGTGGCGCGGCGTATTTTTTTAAATTTCATAAAAGCAATTTCCGACGGAAATTCCGTCGGAAATTTTCGACGGAATTGAATCCGTCGGAATTTTACGACGGATTGTTGCAGTACCTGAAAATATTTTTCCGGCGGATAATTCCGTCGGAATAGTGTTTCCGACGGAATTTTCGTCGAAAAAGTTCATTTTTCCTACAACATATTTTCCGACAACCTCTTACGACGGAATTCCGTCGGAAACCCTATTTCCGACGGATTTCAGGGTGTTTCCAACGGAATTTTTCCGTCGGAATTTAGCCTATTTCTAGTAGTGTGACTCTGTAGGTTTTGTTTTTTGATAATAATAATAATAATAATAATAATAATAATAATAATAATAACAATAATAATAATAACAATAATAATAATAATAAAATAATAATAATAATAATAATAATAATAATAATTATTATTATTATTATTTTAAATTATATTCATCATTCAAAATGGTCACATGTTTTTTATTTTATTTTATTTTATTTATAGTTGAACTCATTGACAAAATGAGAGTACTATACAACAGTTACTAGCTTTCATAATCGGTTAGTTCTTCGTCTTCTTCTTCTTCATTAAGTTGCTCCATTACCTCGGCATTCCTCTGAATTGAATCCCATATCTGATCGGTTATTTGGTTTCGTACAATATCAATAGCTGCTTTTCTGTTATCATCGTACATAGTATGATCTTCTGTTGGTCCCATGACTTCAACTTGGTGCGTGAATGGAATCCCTAGTTCATGTAAACGAACAAAATTGTGTAGAGTACAACAAGCAACGATTGACTATAGTAAAATATTGAAGAATACTTTTTATTTATATATATATATTTTAAATATAATACACAAAAATTTAATTATTTAAAATACAGAGTTATTTTTAAAACACTTTTATATTTTTCACAATCCACTATATATATTATCATTTATTTTCATAAACATTTTCATATATTTTTATGCATTTTAATTTTTCAGTTCAGTTCAGTTCAGCTCCAATCAGTTCAGTTCAGTTCAGTTCAGTTTAGTTCAACTCCAATCAGTTCAGTTCAGTTCAGTTTAGTTCAGCTCCAATCAGTTTAGTTCAGTTCAGTTCAGTTCAGTAAATATGAACAGACCCCAGACCCTAAAATAAGAGATGTCGGATTACCCTAAGATACAAAATTTGTAAAACTTTCTTAATACTTTGAAGATAATTGTTGCTACATCTAAAAAACGGTACAAAATATTTTTGAGAACGAGGTGATTTGTCCATCTAACCCCTATTAGGCTATTACAATGGCTAATTGACCGATGATACTAACAACATATTCTCTTAAATCCAAAACATTATATAAATTTCACTAGTAACAATTTATTCGAAACTTATAATTAATCATGCATCGATCAGTGTTACTAACAATACAGAAATGATTGAAATGGATAAAGCTGATACTTTGTTTGTATTCTCTCATCAATTTTGAGAGAGAGGAGAGAGAGAGAGAAGTGAGAAGTTCTTCTCCTACATACCCAGTTGTTGTTGTTTGTTTCTTGTTTCTTACTTATGGCCGAAGCTTCGGTATTTCCAGAAAGAGTGGAATTTTTATAATTTTAAACCTTTTTTTTAATCAAATTATTATCTTGTTACTCCTATTCCTATCACACGTAGAATTACAGAAGACCTAATCAAATTACCCTTCAAAATCTTTGTGATTTCGTCAATTATTTAACCCTAATTCCCAGGTTACGTGAAACCCTTGTTGTCCATCTCTTTCTCTCTCCTCCATAACTTTTATCTTTTGGGGCAAGTTCCTTTTTCTTGTTTGTTCATTTTCTTCTCTTAATTCCCATAATTCTGTTTTTAGATATTTTCTCTGCTTAATTTGGTAGGGAATTGACGATCTGAGTTCATTAATTGTTTATTTGACTGTGAAATTGACATCTAATTGTTGAATTTGTTCATGGGTGTTTAAGATTTTGGGGATTTTTTTGACAAATTCGTTGGTGGGTGTTTGATGATTTAGGGTTTTATTTATGAAATTGTTGATGGGTGTGTTTGTTTTCTTGATTTTATCTGGTGGGTATTGAGAATTCAGAACTAAATTGGTGATATTCTTCTCTGTTGCGCTGAAACTCTGCTGATTTTTGTTTGCTGATTGTTGCTTTGCTTGAGATACGGAGTTTGAATTGCTTGTAGTTGTAGCAAGGTTTCTGCTCATAGATTTGTGTTTTGTCTGCCCAATTTTAGGGTTAGGTAGGTTTTAGTACAAGAACTATAGTGATTTTGGAGTTGCGCTTAGTTGTTTGATTGGTTTGCGCTTCGCTCCATCGGGTTATCTGATAAGTTATTGTGAACATTTGGGAGGTTTCTATATAGAGGTTGGTGCAAATTAGCTTGGTAATTAGGGGCTGAATAGTCTTATAGAGGGTTTTCGTCGTTGTGAGGGTAAGATGAGCTCGAATGTCACCGGTGGATATGTAGCTAAGGGGAAGCTATTGATCCACATTGCCGAAAATGGCCATTCATATGAGCTCGAATGTGATGATTCCACTGTTGTTGAGGCAGTTCAAAAGTTTATTGAATCAGTGGCAGGGATTCAATTTGGTGATCAGCTTCTTCTGTGTGGGGATATGAAGTTGGAGTCTAATGAGGTGCTTGGAGCATATAAACTTCCATCTGATGAGCAGGAGGTGTTCTGTTTCAACAAAGCGAGATTGCAAGCCAATGCGGCTCGTCCTCCGCCAGAACAAATAGAAATCCATGTCATTCCTGAGCCAACTCCACCATCTTCAAACCATGATGCTCACCCTTTGGATAATGCTGTCGATCCTGCACTCAAAGCGTTGCCTTCCTATGAGCGGCAGTTTCGATACCATTACCATTGTGGGCATGCCATATACTCTATGACGATTGAGAAATTTGAAATCTGTGAGAGGCTTCTGAGAGAGCAGAAGGTGCAAGAAAGGGCAATAGAGATTGCAAGGCGTAACTTGGATTACTTTTTTAGGATTCTTAATCAAAACTACATGGATTTTCTGAAGTGTTACTCCCAGCAGCATCGTACACATTCTGATCTGTTATTGAATTTTACTAGGGAAATCGAAAAGTTAAGATCTTGCAAACTTATCCCAGCTCTACAAACTTCCTCTCGCAAGTGTCTCTTGGACCTTGTAAAAGAAGAAAACTTGAGGAAATGGGTGGATAACTGTAACAGTTCTCACAAGCAGTTTGAGAACAAGGTTTCACAATTCAAGCACGTGTTTGGAAAATTGAAACATGATGTTGAAGAACTATTTTCAAGCAAAGCTTCGTTGCCAATCAGGGATCTAGAGTTGATGATCAAGGAACAATGTTGCCACATCAATGAACAGCGGAGTATTATGCAATCTTTGAGGTTAGTTCTTGGTCAAGTGGTTTTCATAGGATGATGATATCATTTATATTTTTATACCCTATGATTTATATATTTGCCATGCTACATTACTACATTTCTGATTACTCTTTTCTCTGCTAATCTATTGGTTTTTGTTGTTAATTTTGTTGATTACTTGTTGATTTTATATTTTAAATGATTGACTATGAGCCTGAAGATTGTTTGTACAAGTATGTAGTTTGAATTCATTGATGCAGTGTGAATAGAAAGGCTGCAGCATTGTCATCTAATCACTAAGAAGAGTAGTTTTCAAAGAACTCATTTTACTTAAACTTCTACAAGCTCATTGATTTATCTGCTTGAGACGGGCAGATCTAACTTAGTTGCAGATTTTTTGTTTTTAAATCATGATTTTATTATGTCCTTTTCTTTATATTGTTCAATTCCTTATGACGATTCATTTTAGTTGACCTCAAATCATTTTGGGACTAAGGCTTTGTTGTTATAATCATGGATAGAATTTTAGTCTTAGCCTTTTTCTAGTTATGGGAACTTATTTTATCTAACACCTTCCTTCTAACCAAAAGGGCATGCAAGCGTGCTCTATTTTTTTGTATGATACACGAGAGGTAGTAGAGTTTGAGAGAGCTTTGCGAAATTCGCTATGCTCATTATTCATGGCTATTTTTTTTGGGAAACTAAGATGAGCATGGAACAAGATGGAATTAGGCTCCTCATTGGCATTATAAATTCTTGTGAGGTGAGGTTAGTTAGAGGAATGGTGAATATAGGAGGCAAATCATTTTCTTATTAGGAGTCATTTTAGTTCTTGCCATCGGTTGGAAGTTCTTGATTCAGAATCTTTTCCACAGTCTCAGATATTACCAAGTTGTGGGTCCTTCTGACTTTGTTTTGGCATAGTGGGGGTGGTATGCCCAATAGCTTCTCTTTTGGCTGCTGAACCATGTGGATGATAATATATATATATATATATATATATATATATATATATATATATATATATATATATATATATATATATATATATATATATATATGTATTTATTGTTATCTTTGTTTTTTTCCTTTGAGATGCTTAGGCATTGTGAAGTGTTGTTTCTTGATCTTATTTGTGGACCTTGTATAGGGTGGAATCCTTAATGCTAAACTTTGCTTCTATCCAGCTCTAATTAGAGGAATTTTATTCTTCTCTTTATGGGATTGTATATATATGTTACATAGTATTTTCTTACTAACTCTAGCTAAGAAGGATAATACCAAATAAGGATTATCATTATTTAATATCTGTGTCCATTTAAAGTCATTAGGCCCTCCTTTTTGAGTTGAATCTATGAGTTCAGTCTTTAACATTTATAATGATTGCATTTTGGAGTTGTGGGATGGTGTAAGGTGAAGGTTCTAATTTTTTTTTTACACAAGCCCCCCAAAAAGTTTGTCACCAAATTGCAAGTGGAATCAATCCAACCATGTTTGGTTACCATAGTGCATCTATATGTAACTGCTTACTTTGAGCTGTGAGGTGAATAGGTTGTTCCCAGTTAGGTGAAGTTATATTAACTTGGGGATAAAGGAGGGATTTCTTTTTTAATACAAGGGAACTGATATCAAATAAAATGGCACTTTAGGATGAAAAATATAAAGGTGTTGTTTCAAAGGGGCACAATAAACAAATCAGTATTTACTTTGGGACTATGTCTGCATGTGTATGTGATGGAGCAGAAGTGCAGTCCTTTGCTAGGAGGAGGAATTTTCCTGACTCTATTTGCTAGAGGATCCTCTAGATTGTTTCTAAATAAGTAGGATGCACTTTTTGAGGAGAGAGAGTGCTAAGAGGAGGATAATACCCCTTGATGTTCATACTCTTAGGGGGCGTTTGGTTCGCAGAGTGGTATAGGTTTAGAATCAGGAATAGGGTTAAGGTGGTATCGGGTTGGAACTTGATACTTAATACCATGTGTTTGGTTCAATTCTGGAATGGAATATCATCCCCTTAATTTCATGTATTTGAACCTAATGGAATGGAATGAGCCAAACCCACCTCCCCCCTAAGGTTTCTAAACCCCATACCTCATGGGTTTGAGGTATGGGTTTAAAATTCATATTTTTGACAACCAAACATGTGGTATGGGTTTTGGTCATTCTAAACCCATACCTCATACCTATAATCCGTGAACCAAACGCCCCCTTAAGGTGTTATACTGTTGTCATCCTTGTAGCAAGAAAGGAGGATTTTGTTGGAGTTTGGAATCTTGTGGTAATTTGTTTACCTACTTTACGAGACAACTTTGACTTTTCCCTTGAAAAATAGTAAGTGCAGCAGAAACATCAAGAGATGTGTTCATTTGTTATTTTAAAATCTAGTTCTTGAGATAACTTAATAAGGTTTGTGAGTGGTTTCTTAATGAAGTGTCTAACTAAAGATTATCTAGTCTTATGTGATGTTGATCATTTCATGTTTTGGGTAAGCAAAGTCATTTGGTTTTGGTGTTATTGTGATAAGATTTATTGGCAGATCTTGGATGAAATCTAAAAATAAGGGTTTAGTCATGTGTGGTGCGAATGATTACGTGTTTTGCTATCTGCGGGTATGCCACTACTGTGAGTGCTAGACATCGGAGTTTTTATTATATCTTTTCTTTCTCCTTGTAGATCCCTTATGATTGTCATAAGGTGAATTCACAATTTTTATTGCATGTAAATAACTACAACGATATTAGAACCTTCTTAGTTAATGGATGGGGTTGGCTATAAGTACTAAGATGGGTTTACATCCTTTTGAGTTTCTACATATGTATTCTTCTTCTTCCCTTACCCCCTATGAAATGGAGTATCATTCTGAAGACCTATTTGTTTCATGTCCTTTTTACTACTCTTGTTATGGTCTTCTTTTGCCCCCTACAACTTTTTAATATTGTTTATATTGCAATTTTCAAATCTATGAACTGGTGCTATGTGAAGCCAGTGTCGGACACATGGCCAAACCATTGCTATCTGCTCTCCTTCTTATCCTCAATTTGAAAATTGTCATTCCATCCTTGTTGGGGACCTCTTCATTGTGGACTTATTCCTTTCTCTTGTTAATCTCATATCAACATACGTAGTATGTATTGCGCCACATGCATCTTCTGAAATCCTGACAACAACAATCTAGTAATCTCTCTTGTTTTTTATTTTTTTATTTTTTTTTATTTTATTTTTGCAGCTTCTGAATTTAGTATTCCACACCTTTTCCATCTCCAATACTTATGTAAAATTTTTCTTATGATGCTTGATATGTCGGCTGAAAGTTGCTGAGGATTAAGAGGTTTTTTTTTTTCCTTTTCTTCTTTTGTGTAAGGGCTAAGCTAGGAAGGTTCTAGAAAATCTTGGTGCATTGGAACTTGGGAGGAGGTTTGTGGGATGAAGGAATAACACTTGTTGGGTGTTACCGTGTTTGTGATGCAGCGTTCAGAATATTGCCTTAAGGGATTTGTTTATTCATATAGAACCAGCTGTAAAACTCACGTTCTTTTTTACTTGGGTGTTGCTGCTTTCATTAGTCTTAGAATACTACTTTGGTAGTCCCTAGAATTCATTTTTCAAGATAACAGGCAGTCACTAGTGCACCTTTTTTTTTTTTTTTTGTTATCCCCGTCCATAGATGAGCTAAGTCACATCAAAATGTTTAATATTTTTTATTTCACAAAAGGGCAGCCCAATTGCTTTTAGTTCATTCCAGGGTCTTACAGAAAGTCCCTCTCTATTATTGCTGTGTCAAGTTTGTTTGCATGTGACCCTTTTTAGAATGTGCTGCTGTTAGAACTTTAGGAGTTTCTTGTGGTAGGCTGATGATTAGGCTTGGTCATGTATGTGTTTTGTTTAGATTTGCCATGTTGCCTATTGTTACATGAGGTTTTTGTTTGTATGCTTCTTGGATTTCGAATCGTTTTATTTATTTATTGTGTGCATTGATTTTGAATAGGCTGTATACCATCTTTCTTGAATTTGACTGATGTACGTTTTGTTAGTCTCTTGCATGTCTTAAGCCTAATATGTTTTTTTGTAGCCCTTTGCTATGCTATAGGATTTCTGAGTCCAAATGATGTTTTTTTTCCACTTTGCAGCAAGGATGTTAGCACAGTCAAGAAATTGGTGGATGATTGTCTATCAAGCCAGATGTCCTCTTCTCTCCGGCCTCATGATGCAGTTTCTGCCTTGGGTCCTATGTATGATGTCCATGATAAAAATCATCTTCCAAAGATGACGGCTTGTGACAGTTCAATATCGGATCTACTTGATTACTGCACAACTAAAAAGAATGAAATGAACAGTTTTGTTCACAGTTACATGCAAAAGATTGCGTATATTCAACATACCATAAAAGATGTTCGTTTGCAATTTAATGCTTTCTCAGAGGCAATAAAACGTCAGGATGCTGTTTTTGAGGGCTTAAAGATAGTTCGCGGTATTGGCCCTGCTTATAGATCATGTCTAGCAGAAGTAGTGAGGAGAAAGGCTTCAATGAAGCTTTACATGGGCATGGCAGGACAATTGGCTGAAAAACTTGCTACAAAGAGGGAGGATGAGGTGAGGAGACGAGAGGAATTTTTGAAGGCACAAAGCTCATTTATACCAAGGGATGTATTAGCTGCCATTGGATTGTTTGATACTCCTAGCCAATGTGATGTGAATATTGTTCCCTTTGACACTAGCTTGCTTGATATTGACATCAGGGATATTGACTGTTATGCACCCGAGTCTTTGGTTGGACTACCATTCAAGAGTGAAAAATCAGGATCTTCTAGGACCTCGCTTTCTATGTCCAACAGCAGTTCTTATTCAGGAGATGTTGAAAGACAGGCTATAATTTCTCATGAAAATTATGAAGACATTGATGTGTGTGACTTGGTAGATGTTGCTGGAACCAGTAAAATGGAAGTTGAAAATGCTAAACTGAGAGCTGACCTTGCTTCAGCAATTGCACAAATTTGTTCTTTCAGCTCTGAAGTGGAATATGACTCACTAGATGATAGTAAAATAGATAATTTGCTGAAAAATACTGCTGAGAAAACAGCTGAAGCATTGCAGCAGAAAGACGAATACATAAAACATCTTGAATCAATGTTGAAGGCCAAACACCAGCAGTGTCAATCATATGAAAAAAGGATCGAAGAGTTGGCTCAGCAATTGTCCGAACAGTATATGCAGGCTCGGAAATGTTTGGGCAATAATGACGCGACTTACTCATCAAAATCAGATGATTGCAGGTCAGGAATTTCGGATCATGGGGAGAGACAACTTGCTAATAGATCTGGTGATCTCATGGATGAGATATCTTGTACATCTAACCCAGCTGATGCAAAAGATGGACTTTTACCTAGGATGACTAGCAAAGCCCAGGAAGTAGACGAGAATATGACTGACTCTTCTGGAATCCAGAATCCTCATTTAGATTCGTCTATGATGGATCCACAGCGAGATGAGCAGCTGCTTGCCACTAGTAGTTCCTTGGGTGTTTTACCATCTGAGGCTCCTGCTGACCTTAGTCTGAGTGCTGCTAAGGTCAATAATGATCTTGTGCTGGAACTGCAAAGTGCACTTGAGGACAAGGCAAATCAACTGACAGAAACTGAAAGCAGGCTTAAATCTGTTTTGGAGGATGTATCCAAGCTTGGCGTAGAGTTGGAGAATAGCAGGAAGCTTCTAGATGAATCACAGGTATAGCTATTACAATATTTACATTTGCCTGATCTATTCAAATATGCTTGTATATTTACTTTTTTTTTTTTTTTTCTACTTTGCTTGTTAATTCAATTACAAACAAAACATTATTTCTCGTTCGCTAAGAATTTTCTGTAAGATCGTTTGTGGCTTAGTCCAGATTACTTTTTTTTTTTTTTTTTTTTTTTTTTTTTGGGGTGAAAATCCAGGTTACGTTTTCTACAAATAACACGACATAAATTTCCAACATGCATCGAAGGCCCTATTCTTAATCTTATTGTTTAAACTTTTTCCTCTTTAACTTGGATGTCCACAGATGAATTGTGCTCACCTAGAGAACTGCCTGCATGAAGCTAGGCAAGAAGCTCAAACTCATCTTTGCGCTGCTGACCGGAGAGCTTCAGAATACAACACCCTGCGTGCATCTGCTGTGAAAATGCGTGGCCTTTTTGAAAGACTCAAGTCTTGTGTCAATGCTTCTGGAGGAGTTGCTGGCTTTGCCGATTCACTGCGTTCTTTAGCTCAATCTCTTGCCAGGTGAGAACCAATTGAGAGAGTTTTTTTCTGTTTATATATGATTATTTGCATTATAATTTTTTTATACATGTTCTGCTAAGTACTTATTTCCTAACTGCCTACTGAATTTATCCTTTGCTGACTAGTTTATAATTGTAATATCACACAGTTCTGCAAGTGATGGTGAAGATGATGGTAATGTTGAGTTCCGTGCATGTATAAGAGTCCTCGCTGATAAAGTTGGTATTTTATCGAGGCAGCGTGCTGAGCTGCTCGATAGGTATTCAAAGGCTGAAGCTGCAAACAAACAGCTCTCAAAAGATTTGGAAGAGAGGAAAGAAATGGTCAAGACACTATACACAAAGCATCAACATGAGAAACAGGTATTTTCCAGATCATGATTTTATCATACCATACAGCCATACCATATACCATTTACCCATTGCCCCTCTCTAGATTCCTTACATCAAGTTAGATTGGTTAGAATGTGGATGCACAAAAATGGATGACCTATGTAGTTGAAGAGAGGCTATTCTTTATTTCCTTCACCGAGTTGGCATGGGCTCAACCTAATGTTCCACAATTAGAACTTAGAAGTGAGGATTACTAAATTAGAGATTTGATCCATTGCATTGCAATCAAATACTTTTAACTGAACATTGCTGAGTATGCTGACTTTCAAGTTGAAGTCAATTTAGAAGAGATTGATGGTTATTCCTAAAAGAAGAAAAAAATGGAAGAAAATATTATTGTCTCCTTTCCTTGCAATGCATGTGAGATATAACTTCAAAGCAGTTACTGGGTATAAGTTTATAAAGTTAACTGTGATGCTAACTTTATAAACTATAGAGTAAAACCATTTTACTATTACAAAATTTGACCTGCCTATTGCTATTGTGTCTTTTGGGTTTTTGTGACAAGTTGCAATTTTGAATGTTGCACCATCAAGTGCTTTCCTTCGTGTGCTCTGAAAAGTTGACTGCTGACAGGATATATAATTCTGAAACATAGAGGAATCAGACATACCATCTGATTACTTTCATAGTTTCATTGCAGACACTATCCTTTTTGCTTTATTAGTAGTTACACAGGTAGGCCAGGTTGAGTGTCTGGCACTCAGCTTCTCCATGTTACATGTCTAGCTTATTCTAGGGTTTATTTTTTTCATTTTTCTTTTTCTAAAGATGGGCAAATTTATCATGGTTATCTGGAGTTCCCTAAAAAACAATTATGGTTATCGGAGAATCAGATACACTATTCTTGAATCTTGTGGCAGTAAGTTTTAACTGTTGATTTTTCCATTAGAGTATGTCTTAATTTTTTTCCCCCTTTCAACAGGCAAATAAGGAAAAAATCTCTTTTTGCCGTTTTGAGGTTCATGAGATTGCTGCCTTCATCCTCAATTCATCAGGGCATTACGAGGCAATAAGCCGGAACTGCCCCAATTATTTTCTATCTCCAGAATCTGTTGCCTTGTTCACTGATCATCTTCCTAATCGACCTGCCTATATTATCGGACAGATTGTCCATATAGAGCGACGTGTTGTGAAGCCACATTCAGGTGTGCCAAGGCACGAACAAAACAGCGGAGGAGATCAAGCTGACTGCTTGAAATCATCATCATCATCATCATCATCATCTGACACCTTAGCTACTCATCTCCCTGTGGGATGTGAATACTTCATCGTAACAGTTGCTATGCTACCGGATACAACCATTCATTCGCCAGTGCCTTCCTGATCTCTGGCAATAATCCTAACAGACATGATGGAAGTAGGGATAATAAAATAAAAAAGAAAAAAAAAAAATAGAAACTGTAAATTATGTATCATATTATGAAACTTAACATTTATATCCCTCGTCTTTATCAGAGGTTTCCTGTACAGTTGAATGGTAACCTGACTTTGGTCTAGACTTTTACCTTTGTAAATAATGTTACTTAGCATAGAACTGTGCACTGAACGTACTAAGTACAAAGTATTAGTTTTTTTCAGTGATCTTTATTTCTATCAGGTTCAAGATTCTACTCTTTTCTTCTTGAAAAAAAAACGGCTATTTCACCAAATGTCACTAAGAACTTTAAAAATTTGCCATTAATGACTAACGGCCGTTAATTCCGTTAGTCATTAGGGTCTAATCATGACACATGTCATGATATGATTAGTCTATTTATTTTAAGTCATAAAAATTAAAAGAAAATAAAAAAATTAAATAAAAAAACAAAAAAAAACCCAAAATTTTCCTAGTCACCTTCCCACCACCGCAAAACCTTAGCCCCCTCCCCTTTTCTTGCCGGAAAACAGCCGGCCACCCCCTTAACCACAAAAAAATGGTCAATCGGCTCTTAAGCACTCCACCTGACACAACCTGCTCGACCCCAAATACCACCAACATGAGCTTTGATTTAAACACCCAGCGTTTTCCAACCACCGCGCAAAACCACTCCTCCTATCCTCCACCCTTGAAAGATGAAATCGGCCATAAAAATCGACCATTGTAGATTTCATGGTTGATTTCGGTCGTTTGAGGGTGAAGGGTTTCCACAGTCGGGTTCTATTATGGATTTCTGGGTTTCCATGGTCAGTTGTGGTGGCTATGTGATGCGTCGTGTTGGTACGTGAGTTGGTTGCATTGCGGGGGTTGGGTTGGGCATCAGCGCAAGGTCGTCGGGTAAACGGAGTTTTGTGGGTCAATGTGTGGGTGCTGGAGTCGAGTAGGCAGAGTTTTGGGCATTGCGCGAGATGGTTGCGGTGGTTGGGGTGGTTTTTCGGGGGATTAAGAGGAGTCAACGGTTTTGATGGGGTCAAGGGGTTCCAGCGAGACGTCAGGGGTTCCGGCGGGTTCCGACGGAAGGTTAGAGGGTTCCGGCAAGAGGTCAAGGAGTTCCGGCGGTTGGCTTTGGGCCGTTGGTTGGCTTGGGCAGGTGGTTACGGTGGTGGGGTTGGGTTGGGTTAGGGTTTAGAGTTTTTTTTTTTATTTATATTTTTTAAACCAATAATCGATTGCCATGTGTAATGATTAAGCCACCGTTAGTCATTAATGGCACTCGGTGAATTATTTAAAAACTGAGTGGCATTTGGTGAATTCTGAAAAGTCCGATGGCATTTGGTGAATTTTTAAAGTTCTCAGTGGCATTTGGTGAAATAGCCGAAAAAAAAATTGTTTGTTCCATCCAAAAAATAATAAAAAAAAAGTTTAGATAAGTTCGTATAAGTGTTTTTTTGGTGATATGCAACGGAATTACTATAAATATCATCGTCGTCTGTGTAACTTCATATTTCAGATCATAAACTAAAGGTTGTGGGTTTGGGGTGTTATTTGCATAAAACTAGGACGAACTTGCATAAAACTATGGTGATAGCCAAGCTTTCATACTTTTTTTTTTTTTTTTGCAAAAATTACTTCTAATGCACTAACCTTTGTCAGGTTCTCCCAAAATACACCAACCTTTTGATTATTCTAGAATAAACCAACCTTTATACCCCTTCTTCCCAAAATGAACCCAAATGACTGTTACCTAAACAAGCGGTCATCCCTTTTTCTCTCCTTCCTCCCACCGTTTGCCATCATCTTCAGCCATTACCACCACCCCAAGCTCCACCTCCATTTTATCTTCCCCTTATTTCTTTTGAAGTCAACACTCGTCCCACCACCACCTTCACCAGACCGCCCCTAACCCAACTGAGCCTGCCCCCTTGCCCGCCCTCCCTACACAAGCCCTCCCCCACATGAAAGCATCCCCCATTTCAGATTTTTTTTTTTTTTTTTTTTTTAAAAAAAAAAAAAAACCGACCACTTCGAAATCATCATTAGATCCATTTTTTTTTTTTTTTTTTTTTAAAATTGAGGGTAGAAAGGAGATATGGACAGCAACAACAACAAGATTGAAGCAAAGGGCGGTGGTTATGTGGGGTTTTTAGGTTTGTGGTGGTGAGGATGGGGTGGCTTACGCATGCCTAGGTGGTGGAAGGGGTGGTTATAAACGACATGGGTTGTGAGGTTTGTGCTTAGTTAGTTAGTTGTTATGGAGGTGGTGGCTAGAGATTCATGGTGGCTAGATAGACGTGGTGGCTGGAGGTGTGTTTGGTGGTGGTTGGAGGTTCGTGGTGGCTGAAGGTGTTGGTGGTGGTGGCTAGAGGTGTTGTTGTTGGTGGGTAAGTTAAAGGGGAGGTGAAGTGGCCTGGTAATGGAGGAAGGCCATGGAAGGGGAAGGGGAAGGGGAAGGGGAAGGAGAGAGAAAGAAGGATGGTGGTGGCTGGTGGGTCTATTGAGTGGTGACTATGGTGGTCAAGTGGTAATGGGGGAAGAGAGACTGAGAGAGAGAGAGAAGGTGATGGCTGGTAAATTAAAATATGTATAAAAAAAAAAGCAAAAAAACCAATTATGAAATGCCACGTAGCATATGTAACTGGTTGTACCGGATGGGTGACCTGCTAGGTTCATTTTGGGAAGAAGGGGTATAAAGGTTGGTTTATTTTAGAATAATCAAAAGGTTGGTGTATTTTAGGAGAACCGGGCAAAGATTGGTGTATTAGAAGTAATTTTTCCTTTTTTTTTTTTTTTTTTTTTGAAACAATTATGCTCAAAGTGATTTATTATTGGTCTCACCTTTTTCTTGCAAAAGCAAGTTTAGCTAAAGATTTTGCAACTCTTTATTTTTTTTCTTTATCATGAGTTGAACACGTTTGTACTAGCCATAATAACAATAATACTTCAAAGAACTTTAAACTTGCTTACTTTTTTAGTAGTTTGATATTACTTCTAGAGTAAGATTTTATGTTTTGGGTTTGGTAAAAAGCAGTTAATTCTTCCAAATGTTTGCAAGTGTCAAGGTAGCCATGAAAATTTTTATACACTAACTACTTTGACAATTAACAATTAGTTTTTCCAAAGATGCCAAAAACTTCCAAATTGATTACTGTAATGAAATTAAAGTGAAAAAGATGAGCTATTTCCTTCCAAATACCATATCTATTTTGAAAGCTTCATCTTCTAACTTTTCTAAAACTCTTATATTCTTAGGAAAAACTATCTTAACAACACTATCAACCCAAACATTGTCTTAAACAAATTAAAAAATAGTGATATTTTCCTTAAGCATTGAAGCAAAACGTTGTCCCCTTTCTTTCAAGAGTGGAAAGGGTGTTTGTGCATTTATTTAGATCAAGTTTTTTCCTTCTCATATTCGTATAAAAATGCATTATATACGTTAGTGTACTTAAAAATTGATATACTTCTACTTCGGGTTTGAAACAATTTCCTTAACAATCTTAATTATTGGATTGTAAGAGGTCCAATATGGCAATATAGTATTATAGATTATTGGACTAAAACAATTTCAGGTTGATTTAGGGTCGATTTCATGTTAGGTTTGGATATGAGATTTCTCGGGTCAAACCATATTAGGCCTTATTTAATTTTGACTAAATCTTTCAAATCATGTCGGTTTTTGACACCTTTAAATATAACTTCACGTGCAAGCATTCGACAACCAGGATGTATTTTACACTTATGTACCAGTAGAATTTTTAATATACAACTCATTATGGTTTTGCTCATTTATAAAATGAGCAAAAATTAATGAGTAAACAACCCAGATATACTGTACACCCGGGTGTATAGAACAGATTATCATGTACCAGCCCCCACATGATTGAAATAAAGAAGTAAAAACTATGTAATTTTTTTTTTTTTTTTTTTATTTACAGGAAAAAGGTAAACCTACGTTTGAACTAGAGCTGTCAATTCGGGTAAACGGTCCGGGTTTGGGTCGATTAAGAGTGGGTCGGGTCAACTCGGGTCGGGTCAATTCAGATTAATTCCATAACCTATGCGGGTCAGGTTTGGGTTCGGTCATGCTTGAGTCGGGTCATACTTCTTATCGGGTTTGGGTCGGGTTTAGGTCGGGTTAATAACAGGTCGGGTTACATTCGGGTCGGGTGAACAATAGGTCGGGTTCAATTCGGGTTTTCACGGGTTAAAACAGGTTAGGGAAATTCTCGGGTTCGATTCAAGTTATTAATTTGCGGGTTAGAATCAGGTCGGGTCATTCTCAGGTTTGAGTCAGGTTCGATTCAAGTCAATAATTCGCGGGTTAGAATCAGGTCGGGTCATTCTCGGGTTTGAGTCGGGTTCGGTTCAAGTCAATATTTGCGGATTATAATCAGGTCGGGTCATTCTCGGGTTCAAGTCGGGTTCGGTTCAAGTCAATAATTTGCGGGTTATAATCAAATTGGGTCATTTCTAAGTCGGGTCATTCTTGGATTCAAGTCGGGTTATGTCAAGTTTATAATTTGCAAGTTACAATCAAGTCGGGTCATTTCCAAGTCAGGTCATATTCGGGTTCAACTAACTATAAATAGATAATTATCATTTTCATCAAGCTAATTATTTCCTTTGACTATAATATATATGACAATATACTAGGGAACTATAGTCTATAATTTAGGAAGATAATTATCTCCTTTGACCATATAACAAATATATATACTATATTTAACTCTTAAATTTGAGGATGATGCTCCTTTCTTTTGCTGGCCTGGACCGACTTGGTCTCCCAAGACAAAATGCTTTGATCAACAATAATAATGTGGTCTAAATTGCATTTAAGGTGATTTGAAATCGGATTAGGAACAATTTGGGTTGAATTTAGGTCGGGTCAATAACAAGTCGTGTTAATTTCGAGTCGGGTTAGTAACAGATCGGGTTGAATTTTTGGGTTGGGTAAGTAATAGGTATGGTAAAATTCGGGTCGGGTCAATAACAAGTCGGGTTGATTTCGGTCGGGTTTGTAATAGGTTGGGTTAAATTTGTGACGGGTTAGGAACGGGACGGGTTGAATTCAGGTCGGGTAAGTAACAAGTCAGATTAAATTCGGGTATTGACGGGTTAAAACAGATTTGGGTCAATTTCAGTTCAAGTCGGGTTCGGTGCAAGTTAATTAAATTGGCCATTGTCAACCGGTAAATCGATGCAAGTTGTAAACCGGTAAATTGTTAGTTTAAAAG